ATGAGATATGTATAAGCAGAAATGTCGAAAACGGTGATTTTTTTCATGTATCTTGTATTATCGATTAGCCCATCAATAGTTCCTTTTTATGAAGGCGTTTTTCTACTATGAATACATCGACTTGAAATGTGTTTCCAGTAAAAGTTCCCAATCAAACAGATGCTTCTTCGCTGAAATATAAGAGTCCAAAATAATGATCAAAAGCTCAGAAGAATGATTCCGACAGTACACTGTAAAAACAAAGAACTTTACCGAATTCCCAAAAAGGCTCGGTACATTTCTTTGTTTTTTAGAGTGTAGGATCCTATCGGATTCAGTCAAGGGTCACACAGTGAATATACCGAACACCATGTGTTGCAATAAAATCGACGAAATCTTATGGGATTCCTGGATACGGACCTACAGTCGAATCCTAGGTATTGGGCCCAATCGGATCCGATGTTGGATTTTAATGGAATCCAACTCTAACGAATCCCCCTTGCGCTCTGGTGGCTCAAAATGCTTATTTGATCGCCCGGTACGAGAAACCAGGCGGCAAGATCTCACAAGAATCGTACGTTTGGTCATATCCGATCTTATCAGATCAGACGAAAAATCGTCGTCTCTGATTTCTCACACTAAATTGTATCAGAAGATTCTTGAAAGGTTCTGTTACCAGGGTTGCCACCTCTTCCGCTTTTTTGCTCTTTTTCCGCTTTTTTCCCGCTTTTTCATATCAAAGACTTTCGTTGTTTAATCGAAAACTTAACCATGCAAGAAACTATATAACGTGATGTTAGACGGAAATTTCTTGGAAAATAATTTTCTAACGTATAATTCTATACAATTCTTGAAAAATTTTCGCTTCATATGATAGATTTTCCAATAAATTTTTCTAGTGAAACACATTTCGTGTTCATTTTGACCTCCACTATGAAATACATTTACCTGGATTTGAAATGCTGGTGAAGAAAAGAAAACTTCTTTCAAGCTCTTATTCATTTGTTAATATAATAGATGAAAGCATAGCCACATTCGACAGCTGAATGTAAAGAACAACATTATCCTCTTAGACTTGTAAAAAGCGAGCTTTATTTTTTGGATTGTACGTTTTCCGGGCTAATGTTTTAATTTGTGCCAAAAAGGAGTCGCATTCGGCGGCTATATGTGGAAAGGAATATATATTTTTTGTTCTATTACTCTGAAAAATGAGTTTCAGTTTTTTCGATTGCATCTTTTCGCATAAACTTTTAAAGTGCTGTGCCAAAAAAGAGCCGCCTTCGGTGATATATTCTCTGCGAAAAATATTGAACTGACAGTCGCAATCGCAATACGGTCATTTCACTATCACAAAATGAACAATTTTTGGGACGATACAAACATTTTCCCTGTATGGCACTTTTAGAAAAGATGAGTAGAAGAAGAATTGATAGAGAAAGGATATTTATTTTTGGACCGGAAATCGTTTATCTTTTCTTCTTCGAGTTTCAGGCCACGTATGCCCTAATATTTTTTATGAGTTGTTTAATATGTTGTGGAGCTGCGAACAAAGTAGTACTATGAGCAATAAAACAAGGTTACTTAAACTCTTGGAAAAGTGAAAGGTCAGCAAAAAGTAGCTTTCCGTTTTTTCTATTTTTGTTTCCGCTATTTTCCGCTCTTTCTGATCAAACTTTCCGCTTTTCTGACTTGATGAGGTGGCAACCTTGTCTGTTACCTATAGAAATATCACTGTGATATTTTAATTAAACTAATATCTCCTTAAAATATCACGACAAATTTGTATTGAAAATAGATTGTATGTGCGATCTTTAAAGAAAATACAGTATGATATGATGCAAGATTTCAGAGACGACGATGTTTTGTTTGATGCTTATAAGATTTCGTTCAAATTGTGAGATCTGATGTCCGGATTGCAAGGTCTTACCTCAGATTTTTCGACCTGGGAAACTTAGAGAAAACACAAACGAATATTCAAATTGTAACACTCAAGAACTGAGATAGTGGTTTGCACTTGTGGTTACACTTCATAGAGTATGACATAATTACTCTAACGCACTTTCCTTCGTTTTTTTGACGAATTCTAGGAAATGACATCGCATAAATTATCATAGCAAATGTATGCTACAATTTGAATTAGCACTAAAGAAAATAGCGATTTTTTCATGCGTTCAGATGCTTCCTAGATACGAACGAAATAATTTTAAGATTACTGTCTTCAGTTTGTAGAGGAAGTAGAAGAAAAAACATCAAATTCATTCAGCAGAAAAAATATTCAAAATTAGAAAAATAGGGTAAGCACTGGCGAAGTGGCACACTCATGCGAATACTAACTCAGAAATAAGTTAGGTATGCAGAAGAAATTTTACCTTAGTTCACTTGTAAATCAATTTATGACTCTTAATTGGTCATTATTTGATGACCTTGGGATTGGCAAAAGAATTGATTCAATTCTACGGGTTTGTTTCGCATTTTCACTCTTTTATTAGTGTAATTTTAGTATAAATGCATTAGAATTAAGTCTGAAAGATATTAAAATTTTCTGTCAGTTTCTTGAATATTACAACAGGTTCTGCAAATGTGATAAGATTATTGATGGATTTCTAATATATTTTCTTTTAATACTGATGTAATCAAATCAATTGTACATTATGAAAGCTAATCTCACATTGAACTGACTAGTTCATACTGAACTTAATTTATGAGATTATGCTTAAATTATTATACCCAAAATAGCGCATAGATGTCATAATACCTTTACACTGGGTATCGAGAGTTTTACGTCACAATACCCTATGCAGCAATAATTTATGGAGTATCCATTCCTAGTGCATCTACAATCTGATGTAACCACATTAAGCGTATCCACTTTTGGGTATCCACATTTATATATATATATATATATATATATGTTTTGAAAAGCTGAGCAATTTGAGTTGTTTTGGTGTATCCACATTTATATATACATAAATGTGGATACCCAAAAAGTGGATACACCAAATGTGAATACCCAAATTCGGATACCCAAAAGTGGATGCACCTAATGTGGATAGTGTAGTGTGTTTGTGCTAATAAGTCGTTACCGGGTGTAAGGATATTATGACATCACTCAAATAACGTATACAGCTGAGCTTATGATAGCTTTTTCTCTCTCCATTAACATAGTAGTTTCAAACAAAATATGCAATCGGGTAGTATATACATAATTAAAGGATTATGTCAAAAACGCATATTTTCCCCATCATCTGGAGCATAATCTTCTATCTAGATTGTGAACTAACCTGATGTCATGGGAATGTTCATTTTGACTTATTATAGTGAAATTTCTTTTCTTTTGAATACCCGAAAAGATTTAGTTTCACCAACATAACCTTTCGATACATGAACATCAGAGCGCAATAGTTTGAGAAGTAGCTAATAGATATATGACCAACAATGATGAGGAAGCCTTCAGCACTGTGACGCCTGTTTTTGATATGGTTCATATATATATTTGATGGTTGTACTCAATTAAATTGATATATTGAATAAATTAGCCAAGCTATTACTGATGTCGCTTGACTATAATTGTTAAATGTAAGTTTTTTGGTTAAAACTTGATTATAATAATAAGAATAAAATTCGAAATCAAGTCTTTTAAAGCGCTGGACAACTGTAATATCGGCAATCCCCTTTAAAAGTTTTTGACCAATAATGCCAATTGTTGATTCGCTGTTTTTATGACCAATCAATATTCTTATTTTATTTTTTGAGTATGTCAAGTAAATCTTTTCTGTTCTCCCACACACACATTTCCTATTTTTCTTGAAGAATAATATTCTAAATGATTTCAGTATACGCAAAAAAAACAGTCATAATATCAATTAGTCATAATGATTGCTGAAAAATCTTTACAAACCATATATAATACAAAATTTACACGTAGTAGTGTTCTCCTATGAGATAAATAGATTTCTTAAGTTTCAATAGGTATTTCTTATCAAGTTTTTATTTTATTGTATTTTATTTTTTTTACTTTTATCTAGTATACGATTATGCATTTATTGATAGTAGCTTAACACATTTATAATACAGATATTTGCTACACTAATAATAATCAGTAGTCCCAAAGAAACTTAACAGTAGTAAATTACTGTTTAATTATGAAACAGAAAAAGAGTATGATGTTTACATTTCATAAATAATACTAGCTTATGATAAGCAAAGAAAATATGTAAATGAGTAATATGCTTTTTCCTTATTGTGATTTCAAAGTGAGATTGAGAATTCGACAAAAAACAGAACATTTAGAATTTTGTTTGGAATGATGCAATAAATTACATACAATACTTTTCTAGTTACAAACTTCCTAGCAACGATGTATCTTTTCAGTGCTTGAAGTGTAACAGTCATACAGTATGCATCTCAAACAAACTGCAGGTATGACACCATATTTGCGATGTCAATTTCAATAAAATATGTGTAATACGCAATAGTCGATACTACGTACATGCTAATTTTTATAGAATACGTTTATCTATATAGATTAGTTTTATCACAAGGCGAAAAATTCAAGTTTTGTTCTGTTTTTTAATCATGAAAGATTTTTGTCTTTCCTCTACGAATGTTTAACGCTTAGTTATTTATGCTATTCCTTCATTTTCAAAAAGCACACTTTTAATTTTTCTTCTAATCTGTTCAATTTTGACCACAATCATTCTGAGTCATCATTCTCTAATTCGAATGACCTCCGTTGAATTTCGTATTTTGTTTTTCAGTGAAAAAGTGTGAAGTCCTAACAGTTATCCTAGTCAATATTTGTATGTACTACTCATTTTTCTATGAGGAGGTTTGATACTAAACTAATTCGATTAAATATACTTGATTTTAATTTAATTTTTTTTTAATTGAAAAGACCAAAAGTTTTACTTTTTTGTATTAATTGATATTTTTAGAGTACTATCGTTTTTTTTCTTGAGCCATTTTGGCAAAATGTAATGAGTTGAAATAATCAAAGTTTTGCACTAAATTAAAAAGCAAACATGGATGCTGATTTCAAGGCTCAATTAGATCAAGAACGAACTAAAGTCGAAGATGCATTTGACTTTCTTGGCTGTAAAGTTGGCCGAGGGACATATGGGCATGTATACAAAGCAAAGAAAAAAGACGGGTAAGGGTATATAACCTTGAAATCTAGACATGCACATAACGGCGGTGTCATTTGATCGATTCGCTTTTTGCCGTAAACTAAAATGAAATGTTTTTGACATAAATGCTTTTTTTTCATTCTTGTCTTCCTGTCGTAATATTTATTATTATTCTTTGTCTTTTCGATTTAGAAATGATACACGAGATTATGCGTTGAAACAGATTGAAGGTAAACCAGGAAGCTGTAAAAAATGCATAGAAAATAATTTATGTTTTTGTTGCTTTTAGGTGCTGGTCTGTCAACAAGTGCGTGTCGAGAAATCTCTGTAGGTCTTTTTTGTTTTGATTTTGCAAAAAGACAGAGACCTAGTTTTTTAATAGTTATTACGAGAATTAAAACACGTGAATGTTATCACATTACAGCGAGTTTTTCTTTCCCATGCTGATCGTCGCGTTTATCTTCTATTTGATTTTGCTGAACATGATTTATGGGTAACAAGTTTTTATAGGAAAATTGATATTCTGAAACTTCTTGTTTCTTTCTATTAAAAGCATATTATTAAATTTCATCGTTCAGCGAAACAGAATAAGAAAACTGTTACATGTGCACGTGGTATGGTGAAATCTCTACTCTATCAAATTCTAGCTGGTATTCATTATTTACATGCAAATTGGATCCTTCATCGAGATCTTAAACCCGCAAATATATTAGTTATGGGAGAAGGTATTGAACGTGGAAGAGTTAAAATTGCCGATATGGGTTTTGCACGTTTATTTAATTCACCTCTAAAACCAATGGCAGATTTAGGTAAATGACAAATTTATGACGCCTATAATTTGTTTTAAGAATTTCTAATAAGTATTCATACGAGTCTTTACGATTTACTGGTTGCATAACTAGTGAGAGGGTACGAAGTCTAAAATAACTAAAAAAAATAGGCACCATTTATTTTCCTGTATTTATCGTCGTAATAATAAATTTTTTGTAAATTATAAAAATAGTTACAGGGAATAAGATATATCAAATAAAATAATCGTCGATGTAGAAATAAAAAACGAACAACTATTTACTTAAGTAGTCATAAACATTTAGTAGTTTTCAAATGAAAGCAAGCATTTACTATTCTAAGTACTATATATTGGTGATTAATAATGAAATTAACATCTGTAGAAAAGAAAAAGAAACTAGTCGGTACTGATCGATTCGATCAATATAAGTTTTTTTGAATATCATTGTGTTTGATTCTAGAGTGAGTTTTTTTTTTGTTATATAAATAATTAATGATTAACAAGAAAATGACTTAACTAATCAAATAAAATGAAAGAATAATATCAGTAAAAATACATACGTTGAGCAAGCATACAATAGAGAATATGCTCGTCATTTTGACTTAATATCAGCTGAATCGAGTTTGTCAATCCTGATAATTTATCTTTATGGGTTCAGGAAATGTAATTTAATCATGGTATAGAAATATCTTTTCTAGGATTAGTTCGTATAACATCTAAAGCTATTCTCGGAAAATTATTATTTGATTTCTTGATGGCTTAGCAATTTTTTGAATTAATGTCTGATTAACACGATCAATGTTCCCCTTAGGGTTCCTCTATGAGGTTTCTTTTTCGATATGTTTAAGTAAGGTCGAATAATTGTTTGAATACGATTAACATCATATTTAGATCCGGTTGTTGTTACATTTTGGTATCGTGCACCAGAGCTATTACTTGGTGCTCGTCATTACACAAAAGCGATTGATATTTGGGCCATAGGGTACTTTATAATGATTAAAAACTACTTTCAAAATACTTTCCTTTATTTTTTTAGATGTATATTTGCAGAACTACTTACTTATGAACCAATATTTCATTGTAAACAAGAAGATATCAAAACTAGTACACCTTATCATCATGATCAACTCGATCGAATATTTTCTGTTATGAGTTTTCCAATAGGTAATAAATTTCAATAGAATTTAATTAATTCAAACTTTTTCAAAATTTAATTTCCAGACAAAGACTGGGAAGATATGAAAAAGATGCCAGAATATGCACGTCTATCAAAAGAATTTAAAAAGAGCAAGCAAGTGCTTTATTTAAAAGTTTATTGAAAAAAAAAACACTTCATCTGCCATTTTCCTTCTAGTTATGCAAATTGCAGTTTAAATAAATATATGGAGAAACATAATGTACGATCCGATAGTCGAGCATTTCAATTGTTAGTACGTCTACTTACGACTGATCCAACAAAACGATTAAATGGTATGAATCTTTAGTTTTCGTCAGTACTCTGTATTCGTTGCTTTCTATAGCTTTAGAAGCAATGAATGATCTTTATTTTAAAGAAGATCCTCGCCCGACTGAAGAGTGAGTATTTTAAAAGAACGAATTATTCTATTTCACGTGATATCAAATTTGTTTTTAAGTGTATTTGAGTGTCAACCGATTCCATATCCTAAACGTGAATTCATCGCTGATGATGATCCACCCGATGTCACTGGCGCACATATATCGAAAATTGAGTCAACCATAATGGTCAAAACAGATGCATCTTCAGTTGTTCTTACACAACAACAAACCTCACATTTAAATCACAGTCAACAATCAATAACAACACAACAGCAACAGCAACAGAACGTGCACATCAAACAGCAACCACAACAACATAATAATATTGTTCAGCAGACACATCCTCAACAAGTAGGTTGAATATATGACGAATATCATTTGTATTTTTCTGTCAAAGAAGAAATATCGATGATTTGATAGAGTTAATATTACAAATTAGTTCTATTGTACAAACGAAAATACTTTTAGATTATATTTTCAGCTTGAATTAAGTTTCTGCTTATGGTTATAAAAAACAGATGTCTCATTATTGTTTTAGTGAACTTCTCAGAGATTGAATAAAACAAAGTAACAATTATTAAAGAATATTCTTAGATGAGATATAAATAAATTCTCAAGATTTGCAACTAATATACTTCACGAAGTTATAACTGGCGCTAAAAAACTTAAGCTCTATATATCTCTCTACGGGAAATGTCTTTCCAAAGAATTTTCTATATACATATCTCTACTTTCAAAGATCGATAAAATTCGTGATTTCTTTTTCTCCTAGATGAAAATGATGCAACAACAACAACAACAACAACAACAACAGCATACATCCAATGTTAATGGCCAAGGGCAACCACCTGAAAAGAAATTACGTGTCGCTGGTGGCTATAATACTGGTGATCCACCAAACTATGATTATCAAGTAATTATTTCTCTAGCTTTTTTTTCAGTAGCAACTTTGTTTTAAATCATCAAAAACTAATTACATGTATAACTCCGTCGTTTTTCTTTTCGGACTAATCATTTCTTACGTTCTAATAAAAACAAAATAGATATAATATTGAGTATTTCTATTTTTTTTTTCGCATAGAGAAATACTAATCATCAACAACAACAAATGTATTCACAGCAGCAACAACGATTTTAGTCGGTTTTTCTGTATAAAAATAATATTTATTTATTCATATATTTCATTTTTCTTTTCGATCAATATTTGTAAATGATTGTTCTCTTTTTCTTTTCTTCCTTGTTTTTATTAATATACCTGAATATATATCTAAAAAATAAAATGTTAATTGTATTTGTTTTGTAGATGGCTTCAGTAACGAATTTTCGTTACACAACTTCTCCTATAGTAATTATTCTAGGTGCAACAGCTGTTGGTAAAACAAAATTATCCGTCCATTTATCAAAGCGTTTTCATGGAGAGATTATTAATGCTGATTCAATGCAAATATATGAAGGTTTAGATATTACAACGGCTAAACCAACCACAACTGAAAAAGATAATGTTCCGCATCATTTATTTAGTTATGTAAATCCTCTTGATCGTGCACATAATGTTGTGGATTATCGAAATGATGCTTTACCAATTGTAAGTTGATGATAACTTATAACGAGTCAAGAGAAAGAATCTAGTCATGGTTTTAAAATCATAAAAGACGCAGATATTAATCGAGATTTTCTTACGCCTTTCATGTCAATTATGCTTTCTTAGATTGAATCAGTATTATCCCGATCTCATCTTCCATATATTGTCGGTGGTACAAATTATTATATTGAATCCTTATTGTTTCATCTCAATCCACCTGATCCATTAGTCGAACAATCAAACGATCAACAATGCATATCATTGGTACCTGATTTATCCGAAGAAAATTTAGCTAAATTAACTTCACCTGAATTACATGAAATATTATCTATAATTGATAAATCGACAAGTATTCGTAGGCATCCAAATGAAGAACGCAAAATACGAAGGTTAGAGTTTTCAGTTTTTATCTGCTAACTACTTTTTCGTGAGCAAAATTATGGGTAATATCCCACAGGAATGATATGACTTTTGTAGTGAAGTTAAACTAAGATAAAGCAAAGCGAAAAAATATCTATTAATTATTATGACCTACCTGGACGAACAATATGTGGAGGTATGAGCATAACTCGTGATACAATTCAGGTAGTAGAGAAACGCATACAGGTAATTTTAGCCATCATAGCGACAGTATGTAAACGATCAATTTGATATAATGATGACCTTAGTTTTTTTGCTATTTATAACTTTATTATTTTGATAATATTTAGAGCTATTGAATTTTATCGTGATTCTGGTGGTATTCCATTGAGTGAAGCATTAAAAAAACAACATGCTGAAAGTGGATTTTCTTATCGAGGATCATTTCGTTTTCATCGTTGTTGTCTTTTGTGGTTGACATGTCAAAAAGAAGGTTTGCGTCTAGCCTTGACATAACATGAGAATCGAAAGGAATGCATGTTTTTTCGTTTGCATTTCAGAACTACAAAGACGTATTAATGATCGAATAAAATCTATGCTTGATCGTGGTCTTATTGATGAATTAGAAAAATTTCATGATAAATATAATCGAACACGTGCAGAATCCGAACAATCATATGATTACACACATGGAATATTTCAAGCTATTGGTTTTAAAGAATTTCATGATTACCTTCTTCTATCAGATATTGAACGAAAAAGTGAAAATGGTGAAAAAATATTTGCTAATGGTAGGTATGTAAGATTAACAAACTGTCTTTTATTTCGTTTTTATTATGTAAGGAGAAGCCCATAAAAAAAGAACTAGATATTAAAAACATATTCAAAAACAGTCATGTGCTGTTTTTTCTCTCAGTGGTAGGTGACAACTCATTAATGATTTTCTTCATAGGGTGAGACATATTAAATAAATATTTTACAGAATTTGTACTATTTGTCTCAATGAAAAAAAAACACATTATTTCTCGAAAATATTTTACTCATGCTATCTTTCATAACCATGAAATTCGACATACGAAATTTTAAGTAGATTTAGTAGGTGAGAAATTCAACTCAATTCCACTCGTTTGGTTCAATTGAAGAGACGGTATGTTTTATAATAATTCATTTCATCGTAGATCTTATAAGTCAATAAGCTTAGAGAAGTGAATAACTTGATGAGTCTAGCACTCTAAAGTCTTTTTATGTCATTATTTACCGGCGGGGAAATATGACAGTTTTGTAATTCGAACTCTGTTGATATATCTTAAGTTTCTGAGGTACCCTAAATTAATGGAGGGAAATTACTATTATGTTACTAAGTTACTCGTGATAAATATGTTAAGAATTACCCATTAAAAGGTGATGGAACACTTGTCGATTACATTTATTCGTCGAGACATTTGTATTGCAGAGAAACCTTGACATATTGTAAAGTTGGATGAATATTTTCGAATGTATTATCAATTTAATGAAACATCCCTCAAGCATTGAGTTAGACTCAATCGTTAAGCATGGTTTCTCACGAATACTTATTTGTCACATGAAAGAATCAACTTTAGGTATTTTGTATTATTCGGTAAATTCATAACAAAACAACATATTAACTTCCCGTGTATATGTCTCTCGCAAAAACGAATGTAGGAGCCATCGTTAGGTAGTCCTTAAGTACAAAATCCGTGCGAGAGTGAAATGTATTTATATGTAAAGAAAAATCTTGATGAGTTTCACATCATCAAGAATAATAATTGTTTTTAAATGATTAAAACTCTCCCCATGTATTCGAAGTCTTTATTGTATAGTAGATTTCTCACTTACTATCTATAATAATTTTTATGATTAGCTGTTGAACGTCTAAAACTGTCAACAATACAATATTCCAAATATCAAGAAAAATGGCTTCGAATGCGTCTTCTTCAACGTAATGGAATTTCAAAAATAGAATCTATTTTTTCCAAGTAAAAATCATTCGATCTTCGTTTAGGGGTCGAAGAACATTCACCGAATGTTTATGAACTTGATACAACTAATCTATCATTATGGAATGAAAATGTTGAACAACGAGCTGAAGCTATTATTAATGCTTTTCTTAAAGTACGCATTCTTTTTTCTAGAAAAATCTCTAGATTAATTTATACTTGTCAAATGTTAATTTTCTTAGAATGAAACAATTCCATATGAATCTCTTCCAAGAAAACAGACAGATGAACCTGTCTATGAACAAAATACATGTTCAACATGTCAACGAGTATTTCATTTGAAATCACAATGGCTTGGTAAAAATCTCTTTTTGACTTTACTGTATACACGTATACTTTTTATTTTTAAACATAGTCCATTTAAAAGGCAAACAACATAAACGAATGGTTCGTGAAACGGATCGAGTACAATATCGTCAAAAATTGAATAATGCTATACCATCATTGTTAAATACACTTGACTTATTAGAATCAAAAAAAGCTTCTGAAAGAGATAACGAGAGTGATGAATTTGAAATAGACGAACTAATTGATACATCGCATACCAAAGACTGCTGATGATTATTTGTTATTGTTTACTGTTTGTTTTTTGTTTCTAGAAAGAATATATTTCTATATAACATTATATCTTGTTTTTCCCGAAAAATATCTAACTATTCCGTATGGTGAACAAGAGAAGCAATCTTGTCGAAGTAAGAGAGTGAGAGAAAGAAATCTAACTCAAACCAAACATTAATGCAATTAATATTTCTTGCTTTCTCTCACTCTCTTATTTTATTTAAGTAACTTTTATTGAAACATATTAATTTTTATTTCAGAGACGTCTGTATGAATATACACTGCATGCTGTTACATCACCCTTATATACTACTGAATCAAACAGAACAAGTGATCAACTTGCAACTCATGTTGCTAAGGTATATTATAAATAGCATAAGGATTTTCATTTTGTTTCATTGATTTATTTATCGATAGCTTTTCAATGTTGATCCTGAAGAACATGAACAAAAATATATGCAAGCTATTAAGAAAGAAGTAAGATTTTTTTATTGTCAAAACCCGAAAACATGCTATCGATTGTTTTTAAAAATTTTTAGCCATGCGGTGTTGTTCTCTTGGTTGATGTTAAACAAGCACGTGATTTGCGGGGCGAAGATCAAAATGGTTTGCTTTATTTTTCTTTCTAACTTATTTTTATTTTTTTTTGAAAAGGTTTGAGTGATCCTTACTGTGAAATTACTGTTGTAAACATCCCCAGCCACCATAAGAATTCCAATGGGCTAGCAACATCTTCACTATCCATATTGTCATCAGAAACACCTCCTATTCGAAAACGAAGTCTATCATTGTTTTCTTGTGTTCGCTCATCATGTATATTGAATCGAACGTTTCACTTGTCGAGAATAACATTTCATATTTTCTTTTCTTTTTTAGCTCCTAAAGATCATTTGAAGGCACCATCAAGAAAAGTTAGTCGACGAAATAGTAAAAACAGTAGCGGAACACGTTTGACCAATCAAGTAATATTAGAGTCTCTCAATAAAAACAAAACATCATCAGTGCCACCCTATCGTACGAAAGTTAAACAAAAAACTCTTAATCCAGAGTGGAATGAACACGTTGAATTGTAAGTCAATAATATTCATTGAACATTTCGTTAGTTAATGATTCATATTTTTTTCCGTAATTTCAAAGTTATGACGTTTATTCTCTTTACTTTTTTGTTTTAGTGACATAGACAATATTCTTGACAAACATTTGCGCATATGCGTATACGATTCAGATAGGGAACGGGCGCCGGGATTGATAACAGCTGTTCAAGAAAAGCGTGGATTTTTACAGTAAATTTCTCGATTTTTTTCTCCTTTTATTTTTATCAAAAATGAAATTTCTTTTGATTACTTTAGAAAATTTTCTGGAATTCACAGTTTCTTAAAAACAGGTGAAATTAAAGATGATTTTCTTGGTGAAATCTTGCTTGATGTTAAAGTAATTAAAATTTGGATTTTGTCTTCTTGATATTTTTACCGATAAAATATTCTTTTGTATTTATAGTCATTAGCAGTATTTGACCGTGATCAATGGTTTCCATTAGTGGGATCAAATCAAAATCGATCAAATAATAATAATTCAAGAGGTGAAATTCTACTAGGACTAAAAGTTCATTTTAAATTGGTAAGTAGAAAATTGTTAGTTAAAATTTTTTTTCTATAAAAATGATCTTCAGATTAGCCAGGTCAAGCAGTTTATTGCCTCTTCATATTCTTCTTTCGATAGAGCTTCAAAGGTTATCTTTATTTGCTATGAATGATTTTGCACGCGAAAATCTAACCATAGATGTTAATTTTTTAATTACTTTTTTATCTATTTTTAAAGAATACTCTTTATCTTGTCTTTTTTATTTTTCAAGGATGAGAGAAATACGAAAGTTCGTCAGCGTGTATCAAGTGGTGCCGCATTAGAATTTCGTCGTGGCCATTCAACAGTATCTGGTATTCCAATAACTTCATCGATTATATTTCGTTCAAGTATTTTTCGAAAAAATTTCCGACGAGGAAACTTATACATTAACGATACAACAAATACAGGCAATAAATATAAAGAATTTTTCTTATACACGAATTTTGCGTAGAATTCAGACGAGACTTAATACAGCTACTATTAAGAATTAAAGAACAGCCAATTTACTCTATATTTTTCAGTACAAGTCTCTCTATGAAAGTAAATTGACATTTCAAAACAAGATAAAAGTACCATATTGCCATTATTCATCTCTAATAGGGCCCAGCAAAGTGGGATTCATCTGAACTATGAGATTTCTATAGTTGCATTGGTTATACTTCTCCGTAGATGCAGATTTTGATTTCTAGAATTGAAAAATGCTTTCGAATAGTGTTTCAAAAATGTTATAATAATAAAATATTTACTTTGTTTGTCGTTTATTTGTCTTTTTTAGTTCTTCCAGATGATTTTGAAGTAAATTTCAGTCGATGTGATTCATGTTTAACACCAGCAACTGATACGGATTCACCATTATTAATCGAAGAATATCATCAATTAACTCGTATTATTATGTTGCATGAATTAGAAGATGTGAGACAAACGGTATAATTTTTTTCAGTTTTTAAATCTGGATTAAGAAAACTCTTTTTATTGTTGTTTTCTAGATTGAAAATCCATCGCGTGAAATTGTTATTGATTGGAGTGGATCATTGAGTCAATTATCTGTTGATGTGCTCACTCAATTTCGTGTTTTATACAATATTTCAATACTATCAGATGCATTGATGTAAGTAAAAAATAGCCACGAATGGCACGTATTTATAACATGTTTGTTTAAAACCAATAGGCAATTACTTGTTATTATGGAACTTCGATGCTCAGGCGATTATGCAATGTTTATAAGTCAAGGTGTCCTTATAGGCTTTTTAAAACCATTTCTACATCAACTAGATCTAAGAGCTGATGTTACCGATTTGGATTTTACTGATTATGAAGTAAAAATAATTAAATTATTATTTTAAAGACAAATTTTGTTTTTCAATCTTTAGAAAACAGCATTTAATGATATTCTTAATGCCTTTGTTGGCCATTATAATAAACGTGTAAATATTGATGCGCCATGGTTTTTACCATCGAAAGAAGCAATACCAAATATTCAGAGTATATTTGAGTAAGTTTTGATTTGATATTAATCTTCTTTTGATGGCTAATATCATCTATATTTTAGACTAATCAATACATTACTTCTTTCGAAAATTTGCTCGAGTCAACCAACAATACGGATTCATTTTGAAGAAACAATTAAACGTCGTTTACAAACGGATATTAATGATTCTTTTAGTGTTTATACACATGCATTCGATGACAAAAATGATATGCAATTAGCTGGTGCTAAAAATTATCTTGAATATGTTGTGAAAATAGCTGAATCAATGTCCCTGCTATCTGTTTATCAGGGATTCTTTACACCATTCAATATAAATTATGTTAAAGAGTGTTTCTTTGGAACGCAAGGTGTTGGTGATCGGGTAAAATATTCTATAGCACTTTCTATGTTATTATTTTCCTTTTATCTTATTAGTTAACTGAAATCACAATATGTTTATTAGGCAACAGAACAGAATACTTTGAAGTACATTCAAAACCAACAGTTACAGCAACCTCATCAATATTTGATCCAAATTTAATTGACAGCTCACGTACCCTTTTAAATTTATATTTATATTTAAAAACAATTGTTGAAAACCTTCAAAAGAATCTTCAAACACGGTGTGGTTCTTTTTTCAATCATCTATTTATTTGATTGAATACTTTTTGTCTTGTTCTGAGTAGAGATTGGGAAATAAATGCCTTCAAATTGAAATTAAATGAATACCATAAATGGTTTTCACCAACAATGAAATTTCTACTCGAAGGTTTTGTTGCATATATAAGACAAGTGATGGAGAGAGCTGTAGAAAATGATAATGAAATAGAAGTAAGTTTTATTTATTTAATTTCTATAAAAAAAATCATTTTTTTCCAGCTTCCTCCCAGTGAATCTACTCTTCATTCGGAATCGGCCACGATTGCTACTAATCTCTGCATACGGGTATAGTATTCATTCTTCTAACCCATAGGTTGCTACAAATTATGACGAAAACATCATAGGTTATCATATAGAGATTTTCAGGGTGCGTTTCATGCTGAATGTCAGTGTATATATATATATATATATGAGAGTAGTAGTTATGTAATTAAAAATCTTTGAAGAGAAATACAAGAACTAGTAAAAATACTGACAACACTCTCAAATAGCATGAAATCAGTCTCGAACAGAATCCAATCTCATTCAAACCACATAGTTCAGATCAACGATAATGATTTTACCTTTGAATTTTGTAATTGACGGTCTGTAGTGGAGCTCTATCGCCGATATATTTCTCTGCATAATCTTATTGATTGAATTAATTTAGTTGTGTAGAGAATGGGAAGCGATTAATTATCCTAATACGGACGTACGTTACACAGCAGTTATTAAACTAACAAATACAATATGTGAACAATGTCAACATTATGCACGACGTATAGCACGTAAATTATCAGACAATAGCTACTTTCCGAATTTAGAACGTACACAATCTTTTAATGTTTCAAAAAAAGTCTGTCGGAAACAATTTAATTTGATCTTTATATTTTCAAAATCTTGTCTTGATAATTTTAGTTATGTACATTAGTTAACGATATTGAGTATGTTAAATCCAATTTACTTTCATCATTACCAAATTTACTAAATTTCTCATCTGTGATTGATAAAATGAATGAAGAGTATGGGTCAACAGAATTTCAGCGTACGAAAGTAACACTTGAACGTTTAATTGCCACAGCTGAAACTGAAATGAATGACGTTATGAAACTTATTTTCGAACATGTGGCGACATCGTTTTATGAATCTTTACGAGGTAAAATTCGTGATTATTATGATGCTGAAGCACATAACAAAGCCAATGTAAGAGAAACAATAAAAGTGTGCATATATCTACTGTTTTGTTTTCGAATGAGTTTTTAGTGTATGACAGATATTCATCAATATATTGATCGGCAAATTCTTCAACAGCTACATGAAGGTCTTGAAACAGTTCAATATTCACGTGTTGCTAGTGCTATACGCATTAAGGCGTTACAATGTTTCAAAGAATTATTACCTTTTGATGTACCACCTGATTTTTATAAACGTGTTCTAAGTTCATTTGATCTATTAGCTAATTATTTTGAAGAAGTATGCCGTGAAAAATCTCATACACCTGGCCCACCATGTGACGAAGAAAAAGCATTCCGAAGCATACTTGAAAACTATGCACTATCAACTGAACAATTACAATTAATGTACTTTCTACATATAACTCTAGCACGTTCTCCAGTAAATATTCTTTTTGAATTTGAAAAACTAAAGAAATTTATTGATGTTTCTTTTTTTTCTAGCATGAATATTCAGTAAATCATGGTCAAATAGCTTTTCGTACTGCATACGAGATAATCAATGATCTTCTTACTATTCATGTTTTTAGTAGGTTGATTATGTTTATTATTTTTTTGAATGAATGATATTTATGAATAGATAGTTTATGTTTTTCCTCGTCTCTCTATAGTTCTTAATTGTCGACATCTAACAAAAATGGATTATTTTGGTAAATCAGATCCCTATGTTGTTCTTGAATTGATACCATCTACAGTTTTTCAAAATCGTGCAAAACCTCTTCGAACAACAACGAAAAAACAAACACTTAATCCAGACTTTAATGAACTATTTCTATGGTAGATTTGCTGTTTGTTTTTATTGTGATAAACATGAAATTTTTTTGTATCTAAAGGTATCGTCTTCCACTAAATGTACTCTCAATGTCTGGTACTGTTTTACATATGAGTGTGTGGGATCAAGATGTAGTGAATGATGATTTTATTGGTGAGTGTTTTGTACCATTAGCAAATATTGAGTCGTTAGCAAATCGTCAATCAATACGTGATGTTCCTGCGTCAGAAATACCGTTAAGAAGACCATTAAAAAATATTCAACCATCAGTATTTGAAGTAAGATGCTTTTTCGTAATTTTCCTTTTCCTTATAATTTATTTGTTTACTTTAGTTAATTCGAAGTCGCATACGATTTGACCCAATAGCAGCTCAATTTGTTAAAGATCGTACTAGTGTAATGGAAGCTGGTACTGGAAGTGATGATAGATCTAATTCAAGTGACGATAAACACTCATCAGGTTCATACGCTAGCTCAGTTATACGTTCAATGGTTTCTAAGCTGCCATTTAATATGATTTTCGGTTTTAATTCAAATTCTCGGGATAGATCAGACGTTGGTGATGATGACGATGATAATGACATAATTTAACTGCTTCATTTTATTTTAATCATCTTGCATGATTTCAAAACGAGCTGCATGTATTGTAACAAAATTCACACTAATGTTCGTCAGATAGAAAATAACTAAATGTTCTTCAGATTTATGTAATAGTCAACAATCTCATCATCAGTCGAATGCTATTATAGTGCCATTATCGGAACCCACGCAATTGGCAAACACTCAAGCGGGTTACCGTATATGGCGATTACTTCATTGGAAAGGAGATAGTGCTCATACATCATGTGACACTTTGAATGAATAATGAAAGAATCTTTTCTTTTCTTGTCTGTATTAATTAAAGAAAACAATTGTATGTAAATGTTTGAAATTAAAATTCAGTGTACCTAATACACGAAAAGAAAATATTTTCAATAATAATAATAATACTCTAAATTTTTATCTGCTTGTAATAAAACAAAATAATGAGTTGAAATATATAGCTACATATGTAATAATGATGTTCTGTTGAAATTATTTGATATTGATCTTAGAATTAAAATTTAAAATATAGCTGGCGTGTTGTGTAAAAATAATTTCTTTGAATAGCTACGAGAAATATTCAATCACTCGCAAAATGCAATTATTGGCTTATTACTAAAATATTGATTAAGATCATGTCTAGTGTTCAAATGCATATTTTCGTTATAGATTATCGAAAAAAACATGAGAAATAAATTAGCATACAAAAAAAGAACGTTATAAATTTTTTATTCTTGTTTTATCGGAATCACTGACAAAAAGATAATGAAATATGCATATTGAATATTACGCGATGAAACTCTTAAATACAATTGCGATGATGTTTTATTTTATCATGAATATTTCACAAGTCAATTGGAATCATCTGCTGTCCTTAGATATTCGTATACAAACTGATCATTACAAAAATTAATATAATTAGATCCACTCAATTTTCTGATAGTTTTTGTAGACATAATAAGATTGCGTTGATGTCAGGTATCGTGAGTGGGAGGGATCTCTGTCATTAGTGTGGTCAATTTTAGAAGAAAGCCTTCACATCCATCTCTTAAGTCATTGATATATGTTCATCGCAACACTAAATGATCATGAATAATTTTCTAGCAGACATTTTCTCTATTCATCGATTTGGAAATATTCTGATTACCTTGTGTTACACAGTGGCTGTTGAGGCTACCATTACTTTGGTTGGTTTTTGCGAAGTACTCAAGCGTTTGACTACAATTACTCAATATCATACTGGTGTTGTGTTCAGTGTTAGACTTAGTATCAATATTTCAATTTTGCTGCTAGGTAGTAACCTATACCACGAGATGCCTAGCAGAAAGAACTAGTCTCCTATCCTATCGTTTTTGTTGAATTTATTTGACTTTATCTCTGCTATTTTACAATCGAAATTTATGAAACCTTTTTCTTCTTCAAGTTTTTTTATTTGTTTATGATATTTTTTCTGCTAGGATGTTTCTATTTCATGTCTTCTCGTTCGTTAAATCTTATGAGGGTACAGTTTTGAAGATAAGATGTTGACTTAACTTTGTTTTTCGCTGCTTTGTTGAGAGAAGAAAATCTGCGGAAAAATCTGTATGAAACATTTGTTTGCTCAGACGAATGCTTCCATTCATAAACATTATTATGGTATTTATTTTTAAAAGTATTTTTGTTTCTATCAATTGGAATAAATTCAATGTTTCAATTTGTGTTTTTGATGAAATTTTCAAAGAATTTTATTTAATAGTCTCAGCAGTTTTATTTTTATACAAAAGAATGAACACTATTTTCAAAGTAGCTAATTAGTTATTCAAGAATAAATATACTTTTAGATTTTGATCATACCATTTTTATTCATGATTCTCAATATTATGTCATATATTCATTGAATTTCATTTGAAAAATCATTAAACTCCTCATATATTTGATTCGTACATATATATATATATATATACAAATGTATTGCAGATAGCGAACATAAAGTAATGCATCCAATATTTCTTGAGACTATCGATAGGATGAAAAGACACTCACACTCAGAATATTACAACGCAAGCATATGTTACATCTGGAATTAGATATACCGACAATTAAAGAAACTTTTCAAGAATGCTATAGAAAACAACTAATTAATTATAGATGAATTAAAATTTTATTCCTGAACAAACTAAAAGCTTTAAACAATGAAATGAATACCGACTCGCTCTCGAACTTTTTATTTTATCATAAAAACAACAAATCCAATTTCGTCAGGAGGTCGATTTTAGCCCAGGAGATTCAATCCGGCCAGTGGATCCGATCGTTTCCGGCACCGGATCCTATGGATTCCGTTGCTTTTCAGTCGGCTCCGTTGAATTCCGACGATTTCCTAACTAACGGATCCCGGCCCGGGTTCCGCCGGAAAAAT